AAGCCCAAAGTCCCAGCTGCCAAGCAAATTAGCAAGAAGTCTGGAATCATGTGTACATCTCACTGAAAGACCATGTAAAATACAGCTATGGCTTCGGAGAAAGAGCGTGATTTCATTTCCAATGTAAATAGAAAAAGAGTACATAGAGAGACTAGACTTGGTCATTCCCTCTCCTTACCCCAGTTAGTCTCTGTGGGGCTGTTCGTATCTGGGCAAATGAAAGGAATCACACTGGGTCTGGACGGTGACAACATGGCAGTCGACACATTATTCTTGTTGTCAGTGGTGGAAAGATACAAAGCAGGTGTTGCATTCCGAGAGGTAGCTGGCTGCGTGACATGGTTGCTGCAAACAGCATCATCTGTTTTTGTCCCTTGTCGAAGAGTATCTTTCCCAAGAAGGCTGCAGCTAGAGTTGTAAAATAAATTAGTGTAGTTTTACAAACAGTTGCAGTAATGACTTTAAGTGATCTCCATGGAACAAGTGAGAGAAACATTACAATCCTTGTTTTATCAATACCAACTCGGGCTTCACTTTTCCTAGATTCTACAGATACGTGAACAACAACTAACCTAACTAAAGTTATTACTGGAGAAAACCCCTGACATTCTGTTTTTCTTAGCATCTGTGCATGTAACAGCCCCGAAACATGGCTGCATTTGGCAAGGGAACCTTTTGCTACAGACACAAAGCATCCAGAGCTTTTAAAAAAAAAAAAAAAAAAAAAAAAAGGGGGCTGAGAATACTGTTGTTGCCTTAGGTGAAGAGAGAAAGGGTGGAAGGCAGACAGATGCTTCAAATCAGTACACAGTGCTCAAGGCTCCCAAGAGTCATGAGGAACATGGTTTCACTGCATCTGCTGCAGGTTTACTCCTCACACCACGATTTGGGCATGAACTGCTACAGAAGTAAACCCAAAATGTTGCTTTGAACATTTTTCCGCCAGTGATACATACTTGGTCCAAGGTTGACAGTTTTCATTTTGCCCTATGGAATACGACCCTTCAGGACATGGTGAGCATACTGGGAAAAAAGAAAGAGGCAGAATTTGAGTTAGCACTATAACTGTATGACAGCTACACAGTAATTACACTAATAGCTTGTACTAGTACTCTAGCTTATAGAACAGACCCAACGAAACCCACGTAGCCTCTAAAAGCCACAGTCATTGGGTCAGAAGTAACTCAACATACTCAGTGGCTCATTTTAAGCTGCTACTGGCAAGGTTTCCTGTCTTCTCTACTGGCTAATTATGGGTACAAGGAGAGCATTAAGATTTCTCACAGCTCAGGAATCACAGAGCAACAGTTTGCACAACCCCACTGCTATAACACTTGTGTGAAGATACCAATGAGACAAATGACAACAGCTTTTAAACTAGAAATAACAACCACCTCATCTGAAGTGGAGGCAAAAGTTTGGAGAGTCTGGCACATCACTAACTTACCACTTCCCAGTGTATATCTGACATCTGGCATGTAACCTGGAAGACACACGCAGATTCTGTCAGAGGTCTTCTCACACTTCTTCACTTCCATGCTCCCCTTCCCTAGCAACAACAGAATAAAGGGCGAGTGAGAGACAAGAAATAAAGACAGCAAAGAAAATTAATTACTCTGTGCCTATCTGTTGTGTGTAGAAACAACTGCAGAGAACAGAGTTTATTAATAATTCTGAAGACACCAGTCTTCAGGCAGAGCAAGCCTGTTTCCCTTTGAAGGCTCTACTATCAGTACCAACCAGGAGATATCAGCTATTGAAGTGACAACCCAGCCTTTGGATTTGGTCATCACAAGTGACAGGCTATATGACATCAGCCTTTGAGGAGCACACAAAGATAAGACAGGATATGAAGACTGCTTGCCTCCCAAATTCGTATCAAGAAATAACCACTATACAGCCGACTTACTAGTGCTGCAGATTGTACAACTCTTGCAGAAGTTGTGGTTGTGCTCACTACTAAAGTATTCGTCTTGACAGGGGGCACAAACTGTGTCTGTTGTTGCTGTGCAGCGGCTTCTCATTCTTTCACCTGAAACAAAGACCATGTAGAAGGAGGAACTGATTGTTATCAGAAGGAACTCCCTTCATTTTCATGCATTAGAATGAAAGAGTGCCCAGAAAGTGATGGTTCCACTTACAACTCTGGCTGAAAACATTCAGTAGATTTAGACATGCCAGAATCCCTAAAAGTTTTGACCCATAGCATGACCGAAAATGGGTCATAGGGGCCTGATGACTTGCTGAGAGCTGAGGCAATGCCCCAAATAATTCTCCCAGCGGATTCCAAATACCACTTCTCCAGACCACCATTTCATATGGTTTAGACATAACAGTTTGCAGCCAGTGTCAGTTTGGAAAAAAAAGCAGGTTTTTAGCATAGCAATAGATCTGATCTCTGGTGTAATACAATGGCTTTATGACAGATCCTGCCTTCCCTTATGAGATAAATCATGCAGTTCAAGCCAAAGTAATCCCAAATAGGTGCAAAAGATGGCAATGTACTACTATTCTGGTTTGCAGAAAATTCATTAGCGAAGCAGTCAAGAATAACTGTATCTTTCTGTTGGCATTCTGTAAGCCCAGAGAAAATTCATTAGCGAAGCAGTCAAGAATAAGTTGGCATTCTGTAAGCCCATTAGGCATGAAAGAATGCGGCTGTATTTCGATACGCATCTACATTGGCATGCAACATCAAAGATGTTACTAGCTCCATTTCATAAACAGTCAGACACAGCACAAAATGTAAGGCAGGCATTTGTCACTGTTCCAAACAGTATGTGTGTATCACACATTGCATTGACAAACAAGCTCTGAACGCTTTCACCCACAAAATCCAACCTGTAAGATACACAGCACTTACACAGAAGCTCCGACTGATGCGCTAGGATGACAAGGTTTGTAAGCAGAGCGACTTGCCCAAACTGAAACAGCAAGTTAAGAGTGGATTTTGGAAAAGGAGTCAGACATATTCCTTCCATCTCACTAGCTTCTCTCCATACCGCACAGGTTGCAGCGACTATAGACAGCTTTAACGACTAGGGTTTTTACCTTAAGCTTAAATACGTCCTTATTCTCATGGACTGTTTCTTTCATTTTGGTTCTCCATTTTCCCATTCTCTAGGCAAACAATAAGCACCAAGTCTTTTGTTCTCTCTAATGCTCTCTGCATTGTATTGAGTGGCAAAATACAGGGGATTTTTAGCGATCGCAATACGTGCAATTGACTTCTAAATTTTTACCATCTGCACAATCAGGAAGAAGAAATGCGAATTTCTACTGGGGAAGCATTTCTTCACAACAGCAGCAGATTTGCTAACAATGCAAAAAAACTGATGAAAGTTGGTTTTGTTCCACCTGACACTGAAATTCTAGAGATAAAGGCATATCTGTATCTGCATACAAGTATGCCTTTCTTGAAATTGAGTTCAGAAACACTCAGATTTAAGTAGTTTTGAGAATAATGCAATAAACTGCCTCAAGTCTTAGATTAAAGGTTGAATTTATTCCAATTAGCATCTTTGAAGATAATGCTACCGCATCAGTTCATGTCATATACATGTTGTGTAGTAGATTTAATTATGAAAAGAGGAAGTAATTATTCTGAAATATGCACATAAAGCCGTATGCAAGATAAGTTGCAACTGCATTTACAGACATGATCTACACTCCCTCTAGGCGTGCAGATGTACCGGTTTTTTTTAGGACAGTAAATATTGACTGTACTAAAAAGAATCCTTTCTGCTAAGGGGCTTGCCTCTTCAACAGCAATATTAGCCTGTTAACTGTTGTTACTCTTCATCACCAAGTCATTTCTGTAAAGAAATCCCAACTATTAAAGTATTTGAGGTTTGATATTTGTGCATTTGTGTTTCTCAATACTGCATTGCCTTCAGAGATACTCAGATTGTGGAAAAAACCACACATATGCATGCAAAGCCCTGAATTCAGACTCATTCAGTTTCTACAATAAGAAAGGAGGAAACACACATTTCCTGTGAAGTTACGCTTTGCTAATCTCTGTCTATGAATCAAGTGTATCTTTCTCCTTAAAAAAAACCCAAATCTTAAGTAGTATAAACCTTGCTACAAAAGAAAGCTTAAAAAACATCTTTAGCAACAGAATTAATTACCTGATTTTTTTCCATTATGATGCAATATTTCTGAGCTTCTTTATGTAATAGGTAAAGGACAGTAACAGAAATGCTACCATCTTTTCACTGACACATTAAGAAAACTGAGGCACACAAAAGTAGTTCAGGAACACGTTAGTTCTTTCTGAAAGGAGGATTCCTAAATCTAGTGTGTTACAGAAATAATCTTTGTCAGTCTAGACATACGATAGTCTCCTCATTAAACGCTTTTTCTCCATGTTATGCTTCCTACATTTGAATGATATTTCCGTCAAGCTGTTTTCTACTACCTACAGGTTATTAACCGATAAATTTTACATCGAGCAACTATAACCAACATCCAGTGAAAAGCACTTACCAGGGGCACAGTCCTTGCAGCATTTGTCACCGAAAGGATATTGATGTTCTTTGCATTTCAATCCCAAGCAACAGCTAATAGCGACTGCCAGCAGCAAGAACAAAAGAGTAGAAAAACGTGAGTAAAAGCCTACAGCTACCATAATGCAGCCCTACTGTCCCAGCAAAATTCTGATAGTGGCAAAATCTTGGAGAAGCAATTCTAAATCACCGGTGATCAGAACAAATACATATGTCAGTTGCTGGGAAATTCCCAGCATGTGCTCCACGCCCCCATCCTTCTTCCCACACCCCACAAACCTATTTTGTGCACTTCACAATTAAAATATTCATAGGCAGAAAGCATGCTGAATAGTGTTATGAAAAGATTTCTATTCATAGCCTTAAAACAGAGTGCCTCTACATACCTCTCAGTATTAAAGCACAGATGTCGAATGCCAGGAGAACTAGAAGCGATGATCCTTGTTACTGTAAAGAAGAGTATTAAAGCAATATAAAGGTAACGCCTGAAAACCTTTACAGATGAGAGTCATAGGTAAAATGAAACATACCCCACATAGGCTTGCTCCTTAAAAGGCGAAGTACAGACAGATTCTCTCCCGGTAACAGTAGACCTGTGACTTTTCTTGCTGCATAAAACCCAACGTTCTTAATACAGTTCTCTTCTCAGGGACAGTGCGGAATCACAAAGCATCAGTCATCTTGATATTGCCCTCAGGAGCTAAGCAAAAGCTACAGATGAGAAGCATTTGCAGTCTCCATTTTGACTCTTAGTATCAGACTCCCTGCACTGCCACAGAAGAGAAGTAAGCTCCTGACTCCAAAACAGAGACTCTGTGTTACCCCTACCATTTGCTCCCGTGGAAATAAAAGCTTCCAGCAGAGGTGCGCTCTGTGAAAGCAAAGGATGCAATATTCACGTAGCAGCTCTTTTGATACCTATTTTGTTCCACCGAAGCACGTTAAGTCTGGACCACAAACCCCCAGGCGGCTCCATCCAGCCGTGCAAGCCAGCAACAATAGGACAGCAACGGAGGTGGCTGAATAGCACGCTGGCATTGGAGTCCTGCCCTCACCTAACACAGGCAGGTAGAGTAGAGAAAAAAAAGTGATCACGCTAGGAATTAGTGGGCTTAACTTTTCAGGTTTGCTATTAGAATTTTACTAATTTGATCTTATTGATCTAGGATCTAAATTTCAGTTCTAAGAGACTCAAGCAACTCTTACGCAAAGGCCCAAGTAAACAAGACATCCTACAGTAATCAAAGATGTTTTATTTACATTAGTTTAAAAAACCAGAGCCAGACTTCCCATAGCAGATCTACAGTCAATTTACATCTAAACACAAAGGAGATTTGATTGGAAGAGAAGTTACATTTGGGATCCCAATTAGCCTGCAGTACTTGGGAGGACTGAACAGCAATATCATGGCATGTTTTATCCAGAACTGCTGCTGTTCGTTTCTTTCTTAAATTTCTGTAAAACTGTTTAAAAGCAGAAGAGGAAACAAAAGTGAGGCAAAACAGTAACTATTTTTCTACTTCTCCTATTTTCCAAGCATTTTGGAAAACCACCACTATGGAAAAGAAGTTATACCCTACAGCCATTCTTTCCAAAAGGCAGCAAAGCTGACAGAGCAAGTAAACCATACCAGCTGAACTTCAACTGCCTTCACACTTGGTAGCTGCACGCAGGAAATATCCGTATCTCTTCCCAATTTAGCATCACACTCAATGCCATTTAAGCAGCTTTATGCCTCATGACTCAGTCATTCCCTCAGCAACGTTTAAGCAGATTTCCCCCCCCCCAATTCTCTCTCTCAACAGCAGCAGACTTTACCTATTCAATAAGCCAATTATTATTCAGTAAGAAACTGAAAATGCAAACTCCTTTGATGTTCACAAACAAGGTAAGGCTAGAATTCTGCTATACACATTTAAACTGAAAACGCCCAAAATACTACAGCCATGATGATGAAGCATTAATATTCTTGTTAAGGATGCTTTAATACAAATCAAATCCTCATTCAATGAAAGCAGTTAGCACACAAACTTCGTATATCATCTTGAGAATTCAACTTTTGCGTCGGGCATCCTTAAGTGTTTCCAGGCTTGATGTGGCCATATTATGCAAGTAAATAAAACGGGGAGAGAACACAGCAATTATCCGCTCTAGTACACTCCGTGGCTGGATTTTCACCAATGCAAATTAACCTCTCCCAAATGCTGCCTGGCATTGCCCCAGGGATCACTTGTGCAACAGGCTGCTCCCAAAAAACAGCCTGGATGCAGCTACTCTGATTGTAGTAAGAGAGGAGAGCTTCAGAGTGGTGAGTTGAGCCATGCTATGGGTCAGAAGTAAGACCCTGCGCTGCTTTTATTTAATATACATGTATCATTCTGACTACAGGTGGTTATCCTAGATATCCTACACCAGCTTTTGGATTCTGGAAAGATGAAACCTGTCCATGAGATAGTAGCACTCAGATACCAAGTCCTATTAACAGTAGGTAGATTGCTTGTGTACAGAAAAAAACCAAACCACACACCCAAAAGAACATGGAACTTAAAACTAGTGCTTAATAAAAGGCTTTAAAACAAAAGTCACTAGATTCCTTAGGGATTGCAGGCAAATAAGGGTTCTCCTATGGGAAAGGACCTGCAAGAATCTGAGAAAGACTGAGTGCATGTAAAATACTTTTTAAAAATATGTAAGTCTATGGACAAATGAGAATAGTTTGAACTTCTAAAATTCCAAGACAGGAATAATCTCATGTACCTCCAAATCTCACCATGCAGTCCACTTCATCCTTACAGCTGTTAGTTAATGTGTGATCCAGATTTCTGGCAGAGAAAAACAAAACACATTAAGGTGCAGAACTCCATGCATTCATTAAATTTTTTTTTTCACAGTTGTTCCTCAAGTTTCAGATTTATCAGGTATGTGGCAAATAGCACAACAACAGTAGATACTTTAACATTTTTGCAGTTGCTAGCTAAATACTGTGTTACCTTGTATTTTTCAAGGGATTTTGTGCTCGCATTATCAGAAGATTAAACTAAAACTGCATATGCATAATCTTTGCCTCTATTGAAAGATAGAGTTCCAAATGTCATCATCATATTTCAGCTGCTCAAGAATCCCTCTGTAAATTAGCACTTGCTTTCTGAGAATCAGGCATGACAAGATAGAACTTGTCCACTCTAATTATAAATAATTGTGCAAATAACTAGAGTATAATACAAGAATGCAGTCAGGACATTTATATAATTATACTCTAATATTGCTAAAACTTTTGTCTTAACTAGATTGTGAACAATCACATTGCAAAATCCTTCCTCCTCAGGGGGAGGACTCCTCATACTCTTCCCTTGCTCCAGCGTGGGGTCCCTCCCACAGGTGACAGCTCTCCATGAACTTCTCCAACATGAGTCCTTCCCACAGGCTGCAGTTCTTCACCAACTGCTCCAGCGCGGGTCCCTCCCACGGGGTGCAGACCTTCAGGAGCAAACTGCTCCAGCGTGGGTCCCCCACGGGGTCACAAGTCCTGCCAGCAAACCTGCTCTGGCGTGGGCTCCTCTCTCCACAGGTCCTGCCAGGAGCTTGCTCCAGCGCGGGCTTCCCACGGGGTCACAGCCTCCTTCAGGTGTCTCCACCTGCTCCGGCGTGGGGTCCTCCACGGGCTGCAGGTGGAATCTCTACCCCCCCTCATCCTCCCTCGAGGGGCTGCAGGGGGACAGCCTGCTTCACCATGGTCTTCACCACGGGCTGCAGGGGGATCTCTGCTCCGGCGCCTGGAGCTCCTCCTGCCCCTCCTTCTGCACTGACCTGGGTGTCTGCAAATGTTCTTCCATCTTCTCACCCCTCTCTCTGGCTGCAAAAGCTTACGCTAGGGGTTTTTTTCCTTCTTAACTCTGTTACCCCAGAGATGCTACCGCTGTCACTGATTGGCTTGGCCCGCGGTGGGGTTTTTTCCGGCTGGCATTGGCTCTGTCAGACACAGGGGAAGCTTCTAGCAGCTTCTCTCAGAAGCCACCCCTGTAGCCCCCCCGCTACCAAAACCTTGCCACGCAAACCCAGTAGTGGCAGACAATCTAAACTCATTTTAACACAAGATTATGAACCAAATTTATCCCCCTCTCACAGTTCTTGCAAAATCATGTTATAATTTGTCTGTCCTCTGAAGCGTTTCAATTCTTCCCCACTCACTGACAATCCTAAAACGAGCAACATTTCCAAAGCGTGGAGAAAAGTATTTAATGAAAAAAGAAAAAGATGTACGTATATAAAAAGACTCTGACACAACCCATTTAACAAAAACAAAAAAAAGAAGAGAGGAAATACTGAAACAGAAACAGACAGCAATGCTTGTATTTACATTATATTAAGAGAATAAATTTAATCAAATATAACATCTCACTTGGATTTTCAGGCAACCCTTCAGAAAGAGGGGTTTTTACAGTAAAGATGGAACCAAAGTAAAAATAAATTTTCTATTTTAGACAGTAGTGGATATGACCCTTGTGTTGCAAGATGCTTTCAGAGATTACCCAAAACCAGACTCATTAACAAGCTTCTGAAGTGCTGACTGTACATTGCACTGGCAAAAGCAGTTCAAAAGCAAAGCCTGTATTTCCCCCAGCTTCATCAGCATCATTAATTTGCACAGAGGCAAGTAATTATGCTAGTTTTAACAATGAACTTTAGTTAAGTAGTAACCATACACCTAAGTGAACACCATTGTTCTGGCCAACATCTTTAAGTCCACAAAGAAACCTTCTCTGTTGTTTCATTTTAGAATAAAATTTGATTTTTTTAAGACATAAGCAATCTCAAGTCTCTCACATTCCCAGTGCAGTTGCAAACACAAAACCTGTCACACTATAACCAGTTTTCTTTTTAAAGTAGATGCAAAAGAGTTCCTCTGTAACATTTAAAATAAGTTCTTCCCCACAGCTCCCAAAGATAGTTCAGCAATGGAGGGAGAACTTCTATTAAATTCTCAACAACACATAAGTAGGTTGAGATGCACTGAGAAAAATACCGGAAGATTAGCCAATCAGTCTATGTATGGATATTCTCATGAGGTCAGAACACACGTATTTGAACAACAATCTCTTTTACAAAAAAGCCAACATCTTTCAGTGTTATTTGTGATTTCCATGGATCAGCAGCTACGAGGGCACCAAGAAGAGTTAAATATTTAAGAAGCCTCCACCAGATATGATTAGCCAAAAGCAGCTGAAACTTCAGCTGGATTAACCGTACAAAACAGGGCAAACTGATGTCATGCAGGGCCTGCCCCATTATTTACGGGCCTTTTTTCCCCCCTCATACCGAAAGCAACAGAGCTGTAGCTCTTATGTATGGACGGAAGTTTTTTTTTAAGTCAGGACAACACACTGTAGGCATGTAACACAGATAGCAGCAAAGTAACTTTCTGTCTGTTTGGGGGTTGGATCTTTTTTTCTTTTCTTTTTTTTTTCTTTTGTTTTTTCTTTGAAAGCAAGAAAGTGCTTCAGAGCTCCAGAAAAGTGAGCAGGATCAGAACTCCTCATGGACGTTACGCGCATAGTCCATAAGCTTGCTGCCTGTGAAGTATTCACTGTATTTCAGGATCTCCTCCAGCTCTAAGTGATGGTTTTGATTTTCATCTGCTACTGCTATCATTTGCTTTGCTTCATTTAGGGCATTGTATTCATTCATAGGATCCATATATTCCTAAAACAAGTAAAAAAATAATTTTCAACCACTAAGCACACTTTCCCACACATCAGAATTATGAACCATAGCTCTATGTAAGCTTCAGCAATTATGAGACCAACATAAGACACCTCAAAGTGAACATAAGTCATGGAAAAAGGTGTTAGCACATCTTTTTGACAGGCTTACATCTATCTTCTAGCTATTTTTCCATTTACTGCTTCCTTAGCTGTTCTAACAGGAATCCACATTTTCTCAGCTTATGCCAGTGTCTACAATAAAAATATTTTTGACATTTTGGCTGCAAACCAAACTACTAAATCTGGTGGCTTTAGTGAAGAAATATCAATTCAAAATTAAAAGGTACACACTACCGATCTGTATGACCTAAATTTTCTTGTTTCTGGAGATAATCTTTTTAGAACGCATTCAATTTAGAACTTTCTAGTTCCATTTTAAACCACCAGACAGACACTACAGAGGTCAGAAGTCTAAGAAACAAAGCATTCAAAGCACTTCGCTCCTTCACCTAACTGGAAATATATTCAAAGTTTTCAAGCACAGCATTTTAGTTCATGATGTAGAAGACTCAAGATTATCTTCAATTTCTTCCCAGAAGATGTGACACGTGCGTGGATGTGTCTGTGTATATGTATACAAAGACTTGACAGATAAAGCGGCTATTTTTAAAAGAAAATTCTCAGTAAAAAGGCTATTAACATTGTCTATGTCACAATATAACTGTTTATCCATAGTGCCACTATCATTCCTACCCACATATTTGCATACTGACAAGATTAGGAACTTTAACATTCATCCTGTCTCAGGGAGACCAACATTTTAGAGGTTCTCCTTTCACACTGCCTATGCTGCAGTTCAAATTCTGCTAGTCAAAGTACATTCTTACACCCAGAAAGGACAAAAAGCCAGAAATGAGCCATAAGCCTCTATTGCCCACAAACCTGCCACAACTATAGGGTGCAAAATATTTCATGCTGTTTGGTAGACTCTTCTGCAGACAGTATTATTAAAAGAAAGCCTTACTTCTACAAACCAAAGTCCAAAAAGCCACAAACTAGAACCCACACTTGAAAATAATAATTTGTTTTTTTTTTTTTTAAAAGAAAAACACTCTAAGAAGACAAGGGATCTCTACTATTTTCTAGGCTACTGAGGCCCAGGGTTTGTTCGTCGTTGGTTGGGTTTTTTTATTTTATTTTTTAATATATAGGTTGCCAGTTACTCCTTTTGCAACTGAAAGTACAACTGTCTCAGTAACCAGTGCACCTAATGAAGTCTGTGACTTGCTTTCATGCACCTCATATTCATGCAAATGTTTATGTGACAAAAACCCTAAAAGCATACCTATGAATAAGAGTTATGCTAGGAAAACGCCCCCTCCGCTTTAACAAAAAGCTAATAACACTATATGCGAGCACTATAGAACAACACTATAATCCAAAGTTTTGTAAAGTAGACACACACACCGTAGTGTTAATTCAAATATTTTTGGACTTCATATTCTCCGAAGTAGTTTCAATCCTGTAGTAAAAAAAACACTGCTGGTTTTGAAAACATTAGTACTATTTAAGGAAGACTTACTTCCAGCTCTTCCATTGTGACAATACCATCATGGTTAGCATCAATGACTTCTTCAAATTCCTTCCTTCTATCTTTTACCCAATCATCATCAATATCTTGAGCTTGCTGGTTCTCTACAGTACCAACAGGTAATGAAATGAACTCTGAAAGGGTAAGTTTCTTATCCCCGTCTTGATCTACAACAAAAGTACATAGAAACTGAAAAGTATTCGCTTAATGTCTATTAAAAATTATAAATTCCTTCATGTCAGATGTACATTGGTACAGCCTGCCTGGTTTCAGCAGCCCACAATCCTGACTCTAGCAGAGAATAGTTACCATTTACACCTTTGGTTAGCCAAAACCTCTCTGCATTATAGTACATATACAATGTTTTAGAAGGCTAAAAAAATAATAAATATACACTCATCTATAATCTAAACAAAAAGAATTTCACTGGACCTGAAGGACACACCAGGTGACAAGCTGGGCTTTTTAACTTTTTTTAATTGTTGTTTATTTTTCAACAAGGTACTGCAACAGAAATTTTCTTACAGCTGTATCTAGTCTGCCCTTGTATTAGTGTTCAGGTAAATTAACCCTCATAAAACACTGTGTACTGCAGTTGTTCTGTCTGTGCATGCCACACAATCGAGTATCACTGGAAACTCTTCATATTTATTAAGCTAACAACAAGCAAAGTCATAGTTCTCTCTTTTTTTAATCCAGATGTTCTAGCAGTTTTAAATATGCATCACTATTGACTCAATAGAAAAAAAAACACGTGTGCCAATACTTATGAATTTTTTTAAAAAAACTTATTTTCTTAGAAACCTCAACCATTTATTTCCACTTTCATGACTGTACGTCACTATTCTTACACGGCTGCTGTACTGGGGAAGCACAAAGTAATTACTGCCCTCCTCATGGAACATTCGCATCAATATATTTTATAATATTTTACTATTCATCAAACCTTTTCTACTAGTTTGCTACAGTGACCCTACAATGCAGCAGCACTTCAGTGTGAAGTTGCGTCAGCTGATCTTCGTATGAAGTACTCAGAATATCTAACATATAATGTTGTGCTGTTCTTTAACAACCAGAAACTAAATTTAGTTTTGAGAGATGCACGGACAACTCCACAGAGATGCACGCATTTGTGCTGTTAGTTTTTCTTACTCATCACATTAGAAGATGTGTAGAACAGAGCAAACAAGACGTGCCAACCTTTCAGATTGACCAATAACAGTGCAATGACCTAATAATGTCTACCCAATAAAATGGTTTGCAAGTAAACAACTCCCAGGAAAGCATGTTTTAAAATGACATACCCAAATCTCGGATGATTTCTTTCACCATGAACTTCAGCATTCCCCTACTATGCTCTGGATGAAGAAAGGACAAGAATTCTTCTTCATTCAACAACAGATCAGGAGGTGGGTTGTCAGCTTGGTACCACCGATCCTTCAGATTATCCAAAACTTCCTGTGCTAGAAATTTAAGAAAAAGATTTAAGCTATCATGTTCAATCTCTTTAAAGGTCTTAAAAATATACCTTAGTCTGTTATTCAATTGTTTAACAAGAATGACTTATGAACCCGTTATTTTACAGTTCAACTCGCAGGGGAGGTGGGTGCTAAGGGGAAACAAAGTGCAATTCATTTAGTCTAGTTTGTGCTGAAACACTAGGAAAGATCCTTTAACCAAACAACTGAACTGAAATTAAGCGATGAGAATAAAGATTTAGCTACACCTGTACCAAAGCTTCAAGGTATCAAGAGAAAAGTATTGTCCTACCAGTATTGTTAGACGGTTCTGGTAGGAGGTATGAATAATCCAACTTTGTTCAGTACTTGTTGTTCTCTTTTCTTATTTTCGTATTTTGAAGCCCACTACCAACAGAAATCTTTCACCTGCCTGAATACCAGTAGTACTTTTCTTCTGAATGAATCATTTTTGTTTTCTACTTCAAAACAGTCCTGTACACTGAAATATTCTTCAAATGTAGACTATTCTTCACATTCACTATCTCCACGTATTGCAATTGTGACATCACACACCTAGTTAGTATCTACAGGAAAGGAAGATGTCAACCAATTATTTTCCTACCCAAATAATAACCATAGAACAACAAACCCTTTCCTACAAAAAAATCAACCCTTTTCTTACAAAAGGAAGTTTGGAAACATCAAGAACCGATGCTAAGCTAAGCACCAAGATATGCATTTAGTTTTCAGTTACCTAAGGATACAAGTACTTATTACTCCTTTTAGCTACCTTGTCTATTCTCTATCAGAAGGCATTCTGACTTCAGACCTAAACCCTGCATATATTTTAGTTATCACTATAATTTAATAAAGGGAAATATTTTTGCTGCAAGGAGTAAGTTGAAGTACATGTGTGTGAATAAATATATCAGCACCAAAATCACTTTGCATTTCCACTTCTTTCATTTCCTCTTACACCATGCAGACAAGCACTTTTTAAGTGAATTTTTCCTAAACTTAACTGAGAATCATAATTTGTACATGAGTTTCCGCTAAAACCACGCATCTGATTTGAAGAAAAAAACACCCTGCCACACACAACATGAATATTATGTGCACCTAGTGGTCCTGAACATAACCAAACAGGAAAAAAAATACCTGTATAGAGTATTCTTTTTCTGGTGTAGGCATTTTCTAAATGACACACTGGAAAAAATACTGTGTGTAGCACACCCTACTATCTGCAAAATACACTAACAAACACAAATCTGAAGCATTTGCTTTTCACAAGTTTTAAAAACGCTCTGAAAGACTACTGTCTTCAGATAATAAACTTTTTTTTTTTAATTTAATAAACTCTCTTTAAATATCTCCTGCATGCTTTTGGTTGTTGAGTTACAAGAGGAAAAAAAATGCTAATGGTCACATCTACATTTTTGAATCACTAGTTGCAATTAAAAGGTAAGTCTTCAGTGAATGTTTTTTGTGAATAGTAAAGAAATCCTTCAGAGTCACAGTATGAATCGTAGCACGCATTTGTAAATGGCAAGTTTGTTATGTCAAGGATACACGTAAACACAGAATAATCAAATCACTTATAGTTTTCCAGTGTAGCCAACCCCAAACGTTAGAAGTCACAAGTTAATCTCCCTTTGCCTGCCTTTCTTACTCATTCTTAAATGAAACTCAACTGTCAGTTGAAACTGTCTTTATTTGCATAAGGTAAATAAAGTTGTGTCCCTAGTTTTGGCCTGGCATCCAAACTGTAGCGTGCTTCTGCACAAGACTCAGAACATGCCCTAAAATCCACATATTCAGTTATTTTTTATTATACAGACTGAAAAAGAGTACTTTTGCACTGCACTAGAGTATGAAAATAAATTTAGCTTATCATCCTCAGGAAGCGGTAGATAACTAACTTGATTTTCCCAAACAAGGCTTGTTACCTAGATAGAAAAATGGTTATGTACACACTTCCCTTATTCAGCAAATCTTTTATCTGATGAGCATTCCTGTAAACTGTACTTAACCACACTGCCATAGAACACACTGCACAGGTGTTTTCCCTGCCATAAAATTCAAAGGCCCATTTGCATTTTAGTTGCTTTTTGATAAATGGAAAATATAACATAACCCACTTTTAAATGACTAATTCCTGCAAGGAAAGGCTAAGGCTTTGTGTTTTACTTAACAGTAAATTTAAACACTTTTAGATGGGGGGGTGGGGAGCAGGGAGATTACACTGTTAAGAGTTGTGTTTATACCAAGCCAGATTAAAATGAAAGTTTCAAAAGTAATAAGGAAGAAATGATCAAATCTCACTAACCTAAAGAATCGGTATCTCTCTATAGAGAACTTAGACAAAACATGAAACAATTGTTAGGCAACCTTCTGCTATTAACTTCTAGTACACTTTGCAGTGCCTAAGCACGTACCTATTTAAACACAACACTGTTTGGTAGCACGTACACCCCTCCTCAATTTTAGAACAGGAATCATGTATAGCAGCTGCCTTTCATTTGGAGCAACAGGGAAGCTGATTCCCCCATTAACAAATAATACAATGGCCCACAGACAACACAGGTATGACAAATTTTAGCAGACTGTTAAACATAAATAACTGAAAACTATTTAAATAGGCAGTAACAAATAATCAACCAAGATTTTTCAGTGTTAAGTATTTACTTCAAGAGTGTTGGGAAGGCAGATTTGAGTTGGAAAGGAATCTAGTATTTTTGTCTAATGACTTACACATTCTACATTTGTGTAGAAGCAGAAGAACAACTAAAATATTCATGTTCTGTTAAGAACTGTTTTGACATTCAGGTTTTAGGTTTTAAGTAAAAGAAAAACCGACACACACCAACAGTGCGCACTTACTTTCTTCATCTATTTTCAATTCTTCATTGTTTCTGATCTTCTCTGCGATCTCTTTTTCATTAAAGCCCTTACTTGCCAAAAATTTAATTTTATATTCATCCCAGGACACATGGCCTGTAAGAAAGGGACATCTCTCAGACATGACATAGTACGTTTAAACGATGAACTTTTGGTCTCATTACTTAAAATGGTACGCGCTAAAAATCTTTTGGTTCAGCACTGTAACCATCACACTAAGCTTTATGAATGACAATAGGAATACTATCACCTGATTCACTTTTATATTTCTTCAGACCAGACAGGCCTTATGAAAATAATCTAATTATGTCACCGTCCTCACCCCCATCCCTGGCAGAGCCACTTAACTTGTTACAATTTCCTATGACCAGAAGTGAAATAACATAGCAGTCAACACAGAACTACAGTGCCGACTGCAGCACATTACTTCTTTGCTTTATTATCTTCTGTATTGATCAAAACTGTTGTGATTACATGCCATCCAAAGAAACTTGGATTTTGTCACAGCACAAAGAGCAGCCAATAGGTTTGGCTACCAGCAATTGACTTAAGATGTCATCAGGAGATGGAGGAACTGTTCACCTTACCATCACCATCAGGGTCCACAGCTCGGAAGTGCATTTTATTCTCTTCCACAGCTTCCTGGAAATGTTCATCTGTCTTTTCCATGATCCAGCGCTGCATCTCTTTCGCACCTATCTTTTTATCATTATTTATATCCACCCTATGGATGAATAGCAAATGAGATTTAGAATTGGGGATGGGGGTGAGGTGTGATTATTTTTAGCTTCTAAATTAATTACTTTGTTCAACAATAACAAACAGCTTGCTACAGAAAAAAGTATATTTATAACTCTCTCTGAGAAGTCGTACATTCTTCAAACTACAGAGTAAACAAGTAGCAAGTTAGCCATTTATTTCATAATTAAGTAACTACAACATCTAGGTTACTACTCAGTGAAAAACGTTCAGCCATACTTCACTTTGCTGTAAGTTAACTCACTTCAATATTATATTTTTAAGTAATTTTTTTAAGTAGATGAAACCACAAATACATCACTCATGGCATATTAACTCATTTCCTATTGGTTCCGAACGGTTAATTGCCAACTGGTACAGACTTTCAGTACACTGAAAAGTTTATTCTCTAACATTCTCTCAAATCATTAACTCCCTCTCAATTTATCTAAGTCCTTTTTACCTCGATCTTCCAAGATCTCTGAAGTTTACTGATGAACTGTCTCTCTGTTTCTGCCTAGATTACATCACAACTATCGTGACCAGCGAAAACAATTAAACCAAAAAAGTGAATAACGTTGGTGCAAGGACTTTCAAGCTATTTAATACTTTGACTGTAGTACTTGTAAGTGGAAGAAACCCCAAACAAACCAAGTTTCCTCTACTATACCTTGATCTCTGGTAATACATTACAGCTGATAGTTTTTAGTTCTTAACACATTTAAAAGTTCTGCACATACATTTGTTCTCCATTAGGTTTCTGAGTTATCAGGCTCATTTTGCTTTGTCAAAGGATATGCTTGTACTCAGTGCTACTGAGCTACAGAACTAAACTTCTTCTACCTGACTAAAATTATCAGTAAATGTCCAATCTGACAATCCACTATTCTCCTTAATGTATTACCGATATTGCTTTATCAAGAAAGATACACTGCCATACCATCAATTCCATTATTGCTTATTTCATAAAAAAGAAGTTAATATAAAAATTACAGTTGAAGAACAAATAAAAAACAGTAACATGCCACTTTAAGGGGTTTTTTGAGCATATCATGAAGTATTTACTCAAAAAAAGACGTATTTAAATATTTAAAACTGAAGAGATACCACTAACATTTAGGAGGCAAGATTCTATTTAAAGCATAACAAAACCAGTTGTGTTGAATTAAAAAAAAAAAAAAAAGAAAAAACACAAAAACCCCCAGCTTGATTATGTCTTTTTTATCTGTTTCTATCACTGTCTTAACAGTACTGAAGTGTTATCACTGAAACTCAAGTCATTAAATATGTGATTTGCCTTTAAATGTCAAGTAAATGTTAAAAGCTAAAGGCAAATAACAACCCTAGCACCTAATTTTCTACACTTAACTGTATTAATAAATGCAGTATCAGCAGTTTTAAATATTGTAACATATCTTTCCACATACATATGCACAGGCTCAGTATTAGCAACTTTTCAGTATCAACGGCAAGACCAGTAAAATGGCCATGTTCCGCTCACACCACCTTGCACTTACCAGGTGAACAAACGTGGGGTTTGATACGGAATAGGTACTATCAAAAATGAGAAGGGAAAACAAAGTATTTTCCCCTCAACATTTAACATTCTAGTTTCCTTACATCAAAGCTATCAAACTTAACTACTTCCAAGCCGTACTTTCCATGTAAATCACATTGTAACTAGGGAGAAAGGTAACAAACATCCCATTTTACTGCTCTTCTAGCTCATGAAAGCACACCTTTGATCTGCCACCACAGTTCACAAGAAGTCTCCAATGACTCAGATTTTCATGAACTAAGAGGTATCCACTGTATAAGATGAGCTGAAATTCTTTCAGTGTCCATAAACAGCATTTCTGCTTTTGAGAGGAATATTTACAACTTTACAATTATATGAAACATAAGATACGGTCCTGCTGCGAGGTTACCATCTAAGACAATAAAAACAAAAGACTGTCCATGCTTCCTTAGATAACTATCTCATTCTAAATCGACTACTCAAAACATTTCCACTAATAATGACAAGCTTAGATAACTACATGTTGCTTAACAACCTAATATTGGTAAGTCACAGAATATTGATTTTATAGCACAGTGATGGGCAATCAGTTTTCTAAGGCAGATAGGCCTGAACACTCAAAAGATGTTAGTAAAGAGTGGTACCTTCTAATGCCCTCCTTAAAAAAAAACTGCCCAGGAACAACTACTGGCAAGAAAGAATTTAAGTTCATGAAAACAAGATGAACCCAAGCAAGAATATCATGCCAAACTACAAGTTTGCTCAAACCTTCCTTGGAAATTTGTGTATAGAAATCTTGTGATGATTTCCTCAAAGTTCATGGTATACTAGCTAAAAAAAAAAAAACCAAAAACAAAAACTCGATTGCTCTTTTTCTACAAGCAGCATAGTTTGCTGCTAGAGTCCTATGTCAAATTCATCAAAACTTAGGTATATGATGTACTATTTCCTGAATTGACAGCAAAGAAAGCTTTTGTAAAAGCAGAGACAATTTTTAGCATAAATTTGAATTAAAAAAAACAGACTACAGAGAGCAATTTATCTAATTGCTTATCTGTCTCATTCCAGAGAAAATTATAGCTAAACCACAGCCCAGACAGTAGTTGATGCAGCATGATAAATACCATTATTTACAACAGCTCCTTATAATGTCTAAGTTCAAGGTTAACACTTCACTGACTATTCAAACTAATTATCTATTCACAGCCTAAATATTAATACTACCTTTGAGTAAGAAACAAGCGAGTATACTACTTTGTAGGACAATTGGAAATTTTTCTTTAACAAAAGCATGTAGTAAGGGTTGCATTGAATATAGATGTCAAGCCTGGAAAAACAAGTCTTAAACACTTCAGCACAGTTTCTCAACCACAAGTCATTAAAAATCAGATTTTTGTGGTCACCTTTCAAAAAGTCCACACCTAAAAGTATTATCAATAAATATTGGCCACTCAGGTTTTCAGATTCCTAAATGACAACACTGCAATGCTGCCTGAGGTATTGGGGGGAGCAGGAAGGCAGTGATCTTACCTAAAGGACTAAAGATTTTCTTGAGCATGTAATGCATATCACTTTAGAGGTGGTTTCTGTTTCATTCAAATAATGAAAAGCAGATCCAGAAAATAATTTTTAATAACAGAAACCAAAGCAAAGCTCTACTTTACACAGTTGGTGGTATGCAAAATTTATTAGATGTACATTTAAATGTACAGGTTAGGAAAAACACAAATCGGGGCGCACACGCTACTTGAAATCTTCCAATAGCACACAAAGCCAACAGTTTTTTAACTGAATAATACAAATCTGTAATCTAAATCAAAGATACAAAACAGGAAAACTTAAAATGTCCCTTCTCCTCCTTCTGCATTCTACCTGCTATTGCCCAACATCAGCTGTTGTTACTAGCATCTTCCTGCCACAGACAGAATGCATACCAGTCGAAATGAATTCTGTGTTAGGCTATGAGACAAATCCAAAATTAAGGAGGCATGGATCTTGCCCTACGTGCAGTCTGAACACACACAGTCACAGCTGTAAAGTCTCAGCTATGCTTAGAAGCACTGTGGGATTCAGAACAAGTTCTGCTTTAGGAAAAGGTAAGTTCAGGACTTTTAAACAAGGAGAAGAAAATAAACCAAAACATCTCTGTACACGGTAGTAATTAACAGAAGGTGTATTTTAGCCTGTGACCTGATGAATGACCATCAAGGTAAGTACTTAGCTAACACAAAGATTAACTTTTAAATCACAACTAGGGCTGCCATTAAGTAGCTGAAAACATCAGCAAAATGCAAATGCTAGAAGGATACCTCTGTGAGTTTGAAAGCTGAGTAACTCCATCACCGCAAAAACACCCTGACAGAAAGCCACACACATTACATTCTTCTGTACTTGAATTTATTGGTTTTGTTCAGTACAGGTAATTTAAAAGATAACTGACCCTTTGAAGCAAGGCTCACCAAACCGAATTCTAGTACCCAATGCCATCGATTTAGTGAAATCAGCATTACCATAAATACGTTTGAGTGCTTTCGATATCTTTTTTCCTTCCCTCCCATCAACACCCACCTACACAAGGTAAACTACACCATAGAGCAAAAGAGTTTTTTATAGATTCCAGGCTAATTTAAACTATTTAAATGGAGACTATAGCAAATGTGGTTTTTTGCAATTATGAGAAGTACAAGAAGAAAGGATGTTAAGTAAGTCCCTCTGACAGATTTTCTTGACCTGAAGACACCTGAACACTTACCCTTGGCAGACGACTAAAAAGAAGCACCCAGGATTTTCTGCACGATACTCTAATTTCACAGGGCAAAGCAGAAGTACTGGTTAACTTGTAAAAAACCACGTCTTTAAATAAGTACGGCTTGTCCTCCCAGTAAAAAGTGACTTCAGAAACTGAAATACAAAATTATCAAGTGCCACTTGTTCTTTCAGTCACATATAGCTTGCTTGCCTAGAAAAACATGGTTTGGGGAACTTTTCTTCCATGTTTCAACTTTATTGTCTAATAGGGTTACTGAAAATAATGTATACTTGGAATTGACTACTTTATATCATACTGGCATGCCACAGAATCTCAGCTGTCATTAATTAAAAATACATTGTGTGTTTTCTTTATGCTTTCAAAGAAAATATTTTCAAAGCATCTGGAAGCCTGTGACTTACCAGCTTTTCACAAAAGTTCATAGTATTTTTCTTGTCACTCAGCCTTTAAGACCATGTCTAGAAAGCAACCAAATTCCTCAGAACGCTTTTCTAATTTCTAATCTGACCATCTGACGGAATGTAATTTTAAGAAAGTATCTGCGTGAAGTTGATCTTGAATCCAATTGCTTCAAGCTTCCCAAGACAATCTCTTCCGTAACAGACAGAAATGAACAGAGTTTGCAATTTGTGTATGACATCTACTAACCACCAGTTAAATGTTTCCAATAAGCATACAGCAATAAAGAAAATAAAAGCATCTAAGCACAATCTTAATATCTGTATATACCCTACCAACGAAGTGAGTGGTCTGAATAGCAGACATAGTAATAAAGGACTCTACTCCAAATGAAGAAGGCACTCTGGTTTGCCTACTTGCTTTAGCTGCCTTTACTCAGGGGAACACCAGGAAAAAAAATTCGAATGTTATTATGGATATTTTTTCCCTGTTAATGAAAAGTTTGCAGAAAAAAAGTTTGTTAAAACTTTGTTAAAGTTTGTTTCTCATTTTATCTCAAGCACATGTGCATCCCCACATTGTCATCAGCATTAAGAGCACCAATGTTATTTAAGCTGTTCTAATAAAATTAATCCTCCATTGCAAAAATGCAAATAAGGCCAGTTCTGCCACCTAGTGTCTAAAAGTATGTACTGACTTTGATTGCCATTGCCACTATGTTTACTGACCTCCTAACATCTGACACTTTATTACCTGACACAAACCTTACCTAGCACAAGCACTTTATAAAAGGGAAAATACTTTAATGTCTAAAAGTAAAGTTAATATTTTACACCAAATAAAGAGCTAGATGAAGTTTTCAAAAAGGCTACAAAATTCTCATGTTTCATTCTCTTTTTCTAAATTCTGAGAAGCTCAATGTTTTGTTAACGCTGCTAACAATGAAGAAAGCTGTCACATCAATCTCTGAATTCATGGTATGTGCAGTTAGGCATAATTACTTTTAACCTTCATGTACTTAATTTGAAACACTCACATTTTAGACACTTGGCATCTACTAGGAAGTTTTGTGAACAGAAAGCAACTGTTTACCACAATCTTACCCCATTATCTGTCTGTCCCTTTTCTTCCCTTCTGGCTTTACTATTGTCTTTTCAGTATTCTTCCTCTGCAGTTATTTGCAGAAGTCACAACAGAAACAAAACCAAAATCCACACTGAATATAAAACCAAGCAATACATAAGAAACTTAGATTGCCAATCAAAACTAAACTTACAGCAAAGCAAGAGCATACTACTGCTAGAACAAAACTGAAACAAATTCCCATCCTTCTAATCCACTGCACAGGCATCCTACCACTAAGGAAGCCCTTCGTTACTAATTCCTTAATCTAAGATACAAGTGTGATTAATATTACTTTTTCCTGGTTTCCTGGCCCAAGGAATAATCAATTTTCATACCTCAAGAGGCTAGGTAGTTTGTTTGTTTGGGTTTGGTTTGGGGTTTTTTTCCAAATAGAAACAGTATGTTTTGTCACAGATTTTACTAGACCACAGCACCAATCCTGTATACTGATTATGACTCTCAACACACGTATTCTCACTCCCAAGAATGGTTCATACAGTTATGTTAATACCTTAATAACATGAACACAGTGCTTATAGTATGATGCTCTCCCCCTCATCGTTACAATTTTTAAATATAACAGAAAACTTTGCAAATTTTACTCTGAAGATCAGAGAAGTTCTGCACTGTTCTTGGCAATGTACATAACTCACTTTGAAAAGATGACCATGAGCTTCTTCCTATTTTTTCTGGGTTCCGAATCTTCCTCAAACTCTTCCATCTCTTTTCCTAGAAAAACTTCTTGATGAAATTCTTTGTTAAGATGTCCATCCATCTCCATTTTGACCCCGTTCAAGTGATCTGGGGGCAAGATCTCATTCTCATCTTTACTGTCAGCTGGCTTTTCTTTGAGGGCCGAATTATTCGCAGGCCTTGCATAAACATCCATTAGAAGAAATACAAACAGAAGGGACAAATACAGAGATCCCAAACTGCAGAGAAAGGCCTGTCTTGACATCATTTTTTTTTCCTTTTGATTCACAGTATTGGCTGATTGAATTACTGTGAATGGACTAAGTGATCTAAAAACAAAAAGGAAGAGAACACACACAAGTTAAACTCTGGAATATTATGTCACTAATAAAACGCCCTAAAATTCAGAAGAACCTACACACACAAGTATTTGCTGTGAAAGCATTTTAAAAGCCTGTTAAATAATAAATACACGACAAGATGTTAATCTTTTCAGTCTGCACAACTGTAACCCCCGTCAGAGGACTTTGGAAGATAGCATCCTTTAAAATGCCTAGCTCTGCTCTCAAAACTGTCCTCTGGTGTTACGGCATGAGCTGACCTGACAGCTCAAACCCAGACGCTTCCTGACAAGTCAGCCCAGCGCAGGGAGCACTTACTGTCGGAGCTCAGCTGTGCAGTGACCCCAACACCAGCACTGCACTTCCCAGCAAGCTGCAGAAACAGCCATGACAGCGCAACAGTTTACAGGCGATCTCGGACCGCCTCTTTAGAAAGGCTCGAGAGACGTAAAGGTGGGTTTTTTTGGGAAAGAGGTGACTGAGGGAAATACGATTACAAATGCCACCACGTAAAGCCGAGCTGGAAACACAAAAGAAACAGCCGGCA